AGTCGCCTCCCGAGGCGGTTCCCCCGATGATGACATTAATGGTCCCGGCAGTGGGTTGTTTATTCCCACCTTCAGGGGCCCTACCCCTATTCTGGTTGTCCCGCCGGCGTTTCTCTTCGCTGACATACGCGCCCAGGAAACCCCTCTTGATGAGAGCCTCGATCTCACGTTTCAGAGCAAAACATCCGTCGGTTGTGTGTCCATGATCCCGATGAAAGTCGCAATACTTGCTCTTGTCACGGGCTTCAGGTGGATCCCGAAGTCTAGGGGGCCACTTCAACTCTTTAAGGTCCTTGATCTCCATCAATATGTTAGACCTTGTTGTGTTCAGACGGGTGAAAGGTGCCGGATGAGGGTCTTGCCTTGGTTTGCTTCGCGCGGGATCCGGGCGATGGTTGGACTCGTGAGGCCTTTTCAGCTCAGGCTTTTTCACAGGCATGGCATCTCTCTTTGGAAACATGGTCTCCTCCATGTTGATGTACTTCTCCGCTCGGGTCAGCAGGTCGGTTATCGACTTCGGAGGAGTCTTCGATAGTGACATTTTAAACGCCTCACATCTTACGGCATAGGTTAGGGCAGAAACAGCAGCCGTGATGTGGAGATCGGGGATCATAAGCCTCTCCTTATTGAACTTCGCCATGAAATTCCGAAGTGTTTCGCTGGGCCCCTGACGCATTTGCATGAGTGATGCGGCCGTCTTCCTGATGCGCTTGCTACTAGCAAAGAACGCGGAGAACTTGTCCGCCAGGTCCGCAAAGGAAGATACGGAGTTGGGTTCCAGCGTGGAGAACCAATCTCGGGCTGCGTTGGTGAGTGTTTGAGGGAATGCCTTGCACATAACGGCGTCGGGCGCTACCTGCAAATTCATGATATCCGTGTATATGTTGAGATGGTTGATAGGGTCTGTTGTCCCGTCATACTCTTTCACTCGGGGGTATTTAAACCGATCCGGTAGGGGGTACGACAATACTTCGGGGGTAAAAGGGGTGTTAGGGGTGAATCCGGCTGCTGTCTGAGATTTCTGGAGCATTCCAGCCGCGATCCCCTCTTGGATGATCCGTGCAAGATCAGCCGAGCTCATAGTAATTGATTGCGAACCGGTGGGGATATGCTGTGCGTCTGAGGCTCTTGCTTCGCCGTGACCTGGGCTATGGGGTCGCTCATCGGCCGCGATATTACTCTGAGGTGAAGGTATCGGGGGTGTGGATCTTTGATGTAGTAGCTGAGTGAGCATGGCCACCTGCTGGCGGAGCTCCTCCAACTCTCCGGGAGGGGCGGTCGCCGGTGGATGTTGTTCTCCCGATGACACGTCTTGGGGACCCGGATGGTCTCCGGCGAGGGGTTGGTTAAGAGCGGAAGAACTTGCTGGGAGGTTTCCTGAACGTGTGTTCACCATGACTTTTGGTAGCGAGTTCCCACAGACGGCGCCAATGATGCTACCAAAATTCGTACCTGGATGAATTCAAGCTGCACGAGAGAACCCCACGCGGTCTGGTCTTCTTCAATACCTGAAACAAAGGCAGCGAGGTGTGTCCTCGTTGCCCTACCTGGATGAATTCAAGCTGCACGAGGAAACCCCACGCGGTCTGGTCTTCTTCAATACCTGAAACAAAGGCAGCGAGGTGTGTCCTCGTTGCCCCTCCGATGCTTAAGTCAGTTAAACTTCTTGAGAGAAATTTATGCTGGATGACTGAATAAAAAACGTACCTCAATGGCGAAGTTGGGTTGCGTATTTATAGATGCAGGTGGTGGAATCCCAGTGGGATTGAACTTCCTGTGTGGAAGACTCCTAGAAGGATTGAACTTCTAGTAGTTTTACCTTTTTCGGGTGTTTGAGTTAAGGTAGGATTGTAGTGTTGGAGCTAATCCGCTCTGGATTGAACTTCCTGTGTGGAAGACTCCTAGAAGGATTGAACTTCTAGTAGTTTTACCTCTTTCGGGTGTTTGAGTTAAGGTACGATTGTAGTGTTGGAGCTAAGGTAGAATTTGCAATTGAATAGGAGTGTAGTGAGATCGGACATGCAGTGGGTTATCTGTATAGATCGGGGGATGCGAGGTACCACCAGATGGCGTAGTACACGACCTCGAGCTCGACCTGGACCAAGGTCATTTTTTGGGGCCTACGGGATGGTTCAGGTCGGGCCCAGTCATCGAGGTCGGGTTCATGGAATATCATAGGCCCCCGTGCATTTGGGCCTTGTCTGTTCTGGTCTTTGGAACTACGAGCCCAGATGCACTGAGGTACGAGCGGGTTTGGGCCAGACCTGATGGGCCTTGGAGAGTGACAGCTGGCTGCCACGCGTCGGCCACGTGTAGGTTAAAGGAGTGGTCGATGGATGGTTGGCACGTGGCAGAATGGAGGATCAGGATGAGGCGACTTTTCACCTTCCCCTTTGACCCCTATAAATACCCACTGTTTTCACCTTTCATTTTCACATTGAGCTTTTTACTCTAAACCTTCAGCAGTTCGAGTTCGAGGGCGAATAGTGTTTGTCGAGCGTCGATCTTTGGAGAGGTAAGCGTTCGAGCCCTTAAGTTAATTTTATTTATAATGTCAAGTAGCAGTAGTGAGGGATCGAGTGGGGGCAGTAGTAGTAGTAGTAGCCAAACATCTAGGAGTTCAAACGCTAGAGACCCCGACCCCGATAACACATCTTTGATACCAATGGCAGTACCCATTGACTCACACCCCGGGGTCGAGACCATAATGACATACCCTAGGATACCGACCATGTACAAGGAACACGTGGTCATCAAAATTGCGAGGGAGTTCGGGGTTATGCCTGCCTGTGATGTGAGAACCCCTAGGCCCAACGAAACGGTGTTGGATGCTCGGGATGGGGAGATTACCTTTTTCCGGGATGCTCTTAAGGCGGGGCTTAGGTGGCCACTGCATCATTTCTTCCTCGACTTCTTGACCTCGTACATTCCTAGAATTTGGGGCGTTACAACCACCGCTGTACAGAGCCACAGATTCGCCACAAATCTGTCGTTAGGTGTTCCGAAAAATAAGTGGGTTGGCTGATGAGTGATGAGATTTGAAGGTCCCAGCCTCCACTCACGGGTCCTATTCTTGGCATGGCGGTGGAGGCGGCGACGGCGTGGTGTCGCAGAGAGATGGGAGGAAGGGATGAGAGGATGGGAAAATGATTTTAGGGTTTGGGGTAGATTGGGTGGGGGTATATATAAATTAATTTATTGTAAATAAAATTTTTTTTTAAATTATTAATTCAAAACCTGATTTTTTGTAATGTGAAACTTGAATGAGCATTTATGAAAATGATAATTTAAAAGCAAGTGTGGGTGTAATTTCCTCAAGTTATAAGCCCAATCATGAAACACCAGCCAAGTTGAAAATCCTCTAACCAAGAGGGTTTAGCCCTCAAATGTATTAGTTACACTACATTAGATCCAACCTAACCAATTGAAGTAAAATCCATTTTTTTGTAGTGTGTGTAACTCATTTGAAACAACTTAGACTTCACTAACTCATCTGAAATATATCCAACTACTAATCAAAGAAATAACCCACAAATGTGGAAAAATCACCAAAATGGGAAATTTTTTATTTACTTATCCTAGAAGTTTCAGTCCACAAGAGCAATTATGGTTCAACTAGTTCGTTTGGTACCATGGACGATGCATGATTACACAGTGTTAAAGAAAGAAAGAAAAGTTAAATCTTGTCTACTGTCCGCGAACATTCAATGTAGCAAATCCCCAGGATTATAACAACTTGATATATACAATATAGGAAACTTAGTTACTGAGGCAACTGTAACGCCCCAAAAATTCAAGCATCTTGAGGTGTTACCAAACAAAATTTTCATGTACTTAAATGCGGAACTGTAAAATTATATTTTTCTAAATAAATAGAACATTCATAACTTTAAATAAGAATCATAATATCGTGTCTTTGAAACGATTTAAATATTCTTAACTAACAAATTTGCTAAAAATATTATTGGAACAAAACAAACTAAAAATTTTAAATAAAAGCAGTAAAACCTAATGTTATTCTCATCGGTCGAAATCCTTTGGCAGCCCGCATCACCGTCCCGCCACAGCTCCAATCGACCCGAACTAGTCTGTAAAAATTGTAAGAGTGAGTATTTTGAAAACACTCAGTAAGATACGTGCAGTTTCCATTATACAATTATATGCAATAAAATAACACTTCATACCACTCTTCTCTTATGGAGTATCTCGGTGACCAAGCGAAACACCCATCTAGGTCATCTTAAATTCCCGAAGGATCTCTTATCTCTTTCTAA